ATGTTTTATAACAATAACAATAACAATAATAATAATAATAATAATAATAATGATATTAATAATATATAATAGAAGTAAAGTCGACAAGAGGCCGCGCCTTGAAGTTTACCAGGCATCGAAGGTCGTATGACGATTCAACAGTACTCTTGAGTGTATTATATGGCGATTGTGCGTCCTATTAGGCGAGGTAAAGGTAACTTAGAAAGAGGTACAAGCATATAGATATAGATATAGGTAAAGGTAAAGGTGTGTTGGTCGCTACCGACAAAATAAAATCACGAGAGGTAAAACGAACACGTAGTCGTAACTACGTGTTCGACTTAACGCCGGAATGCTTGGATGGTTGTGTGCCGACGCATTCCTGCAACTAATTAAATCCTATTGTTAAGTCTAACTAAAGGAGTTAACTTGAGATTAAAAAAAGAGAACTTAATGGAATGGAATTAAATGGTAAGGGAGGGGGCCGAGGTCCTTCGTAGACTTCGTGGGCGACAATGTTGGCTTTCAATTCTTACTTTTTTTAAAAATATTTATTATTGTTGTGAGGTTTGACAATTATTTTCTTGTCTTGTCAGTTATTAAACAAAAGGCTAAATATATTTATCACTATTACCGAGGAATAGAGTCTTTGTGACGGCTAGCTGGTGTCGAGTAGAGGTCATCCAATGTCGGGAACAATATGCATAAATATATAGATAAAAATAAATAAATATTTAAATAAAATAAAATAACCAACGCGTGGCTGCGTCACGTCGCTTTGCTTGATAGTAAATACTAAGTCTAGTCATCATGCAGATGCTGAGGTTAAATAAGCGGGACTTTAGGTACTCTTTACCTCTAACTTGTTATTACTTAAACTTTCGCAGCCTCTCTTAATCTAAAGATGCGATAATCTTTCATTAAACATTTCTTTTATACAAAAAGAAAAAATACAATTGAATAGTTACACGGATCAAAATATTTGAACCTAGATAAATGATGGTAAGAATTTTTTTATAAAAGTTTATGAAAAGTTAAATATTTCACGAGAAAACGAAAATTTAAATATAGCAATTTTTTGATGAAGAAATTTGGAAAATTGAGATTTTTGTTTGGTATTTTCATAAAATTTGAATTAGACTTGATATTTTGGCTAAAAAGTACGAGATGCGGAAAAATTTATAAGAATTTTTTTTGTAGAGGATCAAATTTTTTATAAAAAGAGTATTTTGTCATTTTTCCATATTTGCAATATTTAACCCAGAATTTTGATTTTAAATGTGTAAACACGTAATTAAGCATTCTCAAATTCAAATTATAAAATGAAATTCGGCTCAATGAAAAAATTGATTGAAACCTTTTTTATAGCGAATTTAATTTTCTACAAAACAGTCTCTTATTATTTATTCGTATCTTCAATATTTAACTCACAATTGAGATTTTAAACATTGTAAAACATTGAGCGTGTGTTTCTATATGTCGAAGATATTTAAAAAAAAAAAAAAACGAAGCACGTTTTTAGATCGATTACCAACAGACTGATGGTAATGGTAATCGATGCTCATGCCCAAGTTTGAGAAATCAACTGCACTGTTTAGTTGCATTACAGTAATAGCGATCGAGTTTAAACTCAGAGCTGGATTAGACAAACCAAGAACTAAACATAGAGGTAGATTAGCTCCGGGAAATGAAATTAAACGATGATGAGTAGGAGAAAGGTTCTGCAAGAATAGATCAAAGTTCGTCAATGTTCGTTATAGCTTGTTATGTGTTCCACACTTTTTGCTTATAACTTACAACTGATTAGGTAAATCAGAGGCATAAAATGAAGATAGAATGCATTTATGTCTACATTTAGGGAAAGTTCACACGTGAGATGAAAAATGGGATCTAATATCAATGCGGGATTTGTTTTAGCTGAGCTTCTTAGTTGGATTTATGGAATCACGTATGCGGTAGGTATGCGGTTGATGATTCAAAGAAAGATTGCTGGTGCTGTGTTTAGTCCGATTTTATTGGAGCGAGATTGAGAGAAAGGAAATTCTGTTAAGGAATCCGTTTTTTACGGCCTTTTTATGGAACTTGTGATGGTTTTTAGTCGTTTTGGGTATCAGTTAATGGATTTATGGATTATAAAGTGCGTAATGCATTCATTTTTATCTTACTTTTGATATAAAATCAAAAATAGATACTAATTTTATCAAATTTATTAAAAAAAAAAGTTATTTCTCCGTTTAAGAAGATGAAATTTCAGCATGACGCAGCTTGGAAACAATATGGCGGCCGTAATTTTGAAGGGATCGAAATGAAATGAAAGGTACTTGTTCCTAGAGGTATCTTGGTGGTTCAGTTTGAATTTGAAGTAAATCGGTCAATTAATTTCAAAATGGCAGCTAATAGTAATTTTTGAAAATTGAAAACATAATACTTTGAGGATTTTTAGTCATTTTGGGTATCAGTGAATGGATTTATGAGCTGTAAAGTGCATAATGCTTTTATAGTAATTATATTTTTGATAAAAAATGGAATATACACGGAAAGAACAAGATGACACTGGATATCATCCCAGATAATACTCAGTGATATCTATGGTGAAAAAAAATTTCAGATAGTAGCTAGTATAATCCAGATTACAATGAGTATAATCCAGATATCACGCAGTATAATCTGGATTTTTTAGCTACTATCTGAAATTTTTTTTCACCATAGATATCACTGAGTATTATCTGGGATGATATCCAGTGTCATCTTGTTCTTTCCGTGTAAATAAAAAAGGAAAATTCTCGGTAAAATAAATCGGAAATTGAAAGTTGAAAAACGACCGACTATGCTAAGTGCAGTGCACAGCCATTGAAATGTCACCTGTCAAAACACCTGTCACTTAAGGTCATACCCCGTCCTCGGACGTTTATTGTCAAACATTTATTGTCAACTCACTCGATAAAATTAACCCAATTAATAATAATGCTACGCTGATCAATTTTTAAAACTCTTTGAAATTATTTCTAGCAACGAATAATAACCAATCAGTTTTAATAACGTTTACTGGCAATAAATTAATTAACTTTATTGAACGTTAATTAAGAAAATTTTCAACCCGAGTGCTTTAAATTGTCACAAATATTTATAAACAACTCAGTTATTCTCTTATGCCTCCATCATTAACCTTCGTACCGTAAATTAAATAGACATTACTGATTACTGCTGACACTATTCGGATTGAATTACAATTAACTGCTTACTTTGTGTGTGATGACTAGTTTTTGTCAGAAAAAATTTTCTTTATTGAAAATAATAATTATAATTTTTGATTTAAAAAATTTTTTTTTTCATTTCGGTTTTTGGGAAAAAGTTAAGTGCACAATTATAAAAAAAATTATTACAATGATTTTGATTTTAGAAAAATGTTCTTTTTTTTTAATTAAGACTTTATTAGTCACTATAAAAGTGGCTATAATTCCTAAAGTATCGATTTTAAGAGAAAATCATTAAAGACCAAAGTTGAAGCTATTAAAATTTCCGACAGAAAATTTTTTTATACTATAGGTCTATCTTCAATAATTTCGGAGATATAGTCACTTAAGTAGTGTTTAAATAATAAAAATTGAAAAAGCATTATCTTGTCACAATAGAAATAGCCAGAACTCCTCATGTGATTATCATTATTAATATTAATTGCACAAGTCATGATGCGAAGCATCAGAGAGTGCTTTACGATCGAAAAATTTTTTACGCCTCATTTCGGCAACTATTTTTATTATTATAGTCTTGTTAGTTCACGGAATCAAGGTATTTTGCATACTATTATCAAGATAATTTTATGGAGATTAATTTGACACTTTTCAAAAATTGATTTAGTGCAATAGAAACGGAAAAAATATCAAAATAGATCAAAAAATTTTCCATCATGTATGAAACTCCGGAAACACTGTAACTTGCAAGAAAATGCACTAATTGAGTTAAATTTTTTTTTTTTTTAATTCTTTGAAAGAATTGTAGGTCACCGAATGCGACTGGCTAGGTAATTCAGTGTCTTTTATGTACAATTAATAAAATAAAACAAAAAATCAGAAGACTGTATATCTATATATATTGTGTACATTTATCCCACTAGAGGCGCTTGCGCATTATCGTGCTATTTTAGCTGTTTTATATATTTTTTTTTCACATTATTTCATAATTAAATGAGCATTATGAGTCGTGCACTTTTGGATTTTTCAAACTTTTTTTTTATTATGTTTGATATAAACTTTTTGATTAAGATACCTAAAAAGCACACTTATTTGTTGCTTAAGTTGCAAAAAAGAATAAAATAAACAAACATTCCGTGGGTTATTGACTATCAGATATTTAGTCAGTAACGACTTTTAGTAATATCTCAATCAAGATTCACCAGAAAATAATATAAAAACGTTCATAGGCATCAATTTATTAGGCTTGATGCGAGATCGTTAAAAATAACAGGAAAAGGTGAATATTGGTGTTTAACAGAGTTTATTGATTGATAAATATCTCCTGATTTTTAATGCAGGCTGTTAACTCTTTTTAATGCTGTGCAGGATAATGAGCTCGGAAATTACAGCTTAACTGTTTACGACAGTTTTAGTTTTGGTTTTACTGAAACTCACGACTACCCAGAATAATTATTTATTTTTATGAGTGTTCTGATGGTGTTATTAGTCTTTACTTTGATTACTTCAACAGTTACATTTTTTTAATTGATGACAGATAAAATTTCATTTATTAAATTTTTATAATTAAAATGCAACATTCAACTGATTTCATTAATAAGATTTTCTATTTAAATCAATTAGATGATTTCTCGATCTCAACGATCCGATTTCTAACGAATTCATGATATTTAAAACAGAGCAGCCTTTTTAAATAAATTTAATTGCTGACATCCGTCAATTAAAATCTCTTATAAAAAAATAAATAATAATAAACTAATGAATATAGAAAATTATTCATTATATTCCTCTGATTGTGATTTAATAATTAATAGTTCCATTTTTTCATGTATGATTTCAGGTGAAGTATCGAGTGATACCGTGTCAACAGGAACGGTACCACGAGGTGGAGAACGTGTGGAAGCTGCAGATTTAGGCCGGCACACGGATAAGTTTGACGAGAGCACCCTGGCCGCTAACACAGCGATCGACGCGAGGGGGGGAAGCCCCCAGGGTGCCCATCTTTCGGGGGCTGTTACTCCGCGACCACCCAGAGGTCGGAGGAGGCCCAATCAGAACGGCCTTGACACTACTCAGGTAAGATAAATAATTATTATTCTTCTATACACATCATGATTTATATCAAAAATATAAATATCAAAATTTATGCATAAAAAATATATAAAAAAAAACATATTTTGTTTTGTAGTTTTTAGTATATTTCTGTATTAATTTTTTATATTTTCATATAGGTACTTTTATACATTTTAATTATAATTGAAATCCATAGAAAAAAAACCGACCAAAAGTAAACTATTAAAATATATTTTTATACATATTTGATATCTTTTATGTATAATTTTAACATTTTTTCTTTTGGGGTTTTCTTGTGGTGCTGTCAGATCACTCTGAACTATTTATTGATTTTAAAAAATTTAGAACCATTTTTAAGCTTGTGTTTTCTTCGATTGATAAAAAATATACAAAAAATATATCTAAAACTCCCTTGTTAACAAAATTAGCGAAAAAAAATTTTTTTAGCAGTTGAGACAACGAATAGAGAGTGTGTGTCAAAACACGATCACAGAAAATCTTATTCACTCAATTTATACACATAAACAAATTTAATATAAATCTTTTTTTACACAATATTATAGTGAATAAAACAAACAATCTTGAAGAGCAAATTGAATAATGCGAATCTTCATTAGTTACAATTTTTTTGTTTATGAAAGTAATAATAAGAAACAGTTTTATTTCAACATAATAAAATAAAAAATCGTTGCATAAGTACGTGTGTCCTGCAAAATATTTGCACGGCTTAGCTATTCATAGTAAAAAGTGAAAAAATTAATAGCTCGGTAAATAAGTAGCCATGTTGATATTAAAAAATTTTGAAGTAATGTGACATAGAGCACTTACTTATGCTTGTAATTTACGTTAGACTAAAAGAAATTGAAGTGTTTAATTTGGTAGAGCCATTTCTAAAACCGTTTAAGAGCTTATAAACTGCCAGATTTACCGTTTAGTTTGAAAGAAGTGGGAAGTAGTAGCTAAAAACCAGTAACTGGAATAACTTGATAGTGACAATGATTGACATTGACATCTGGATCTGATGATTTGGTTCCAGGTTAAGACGGAGCGGTTAACGCCAGACAACAATTCGACGTCGTCGAGGAGTGTAACACCATCTTCTTCGAGTCACCCTGGCACGCCACCTAATGCTGTGGCACTGGGAGGACCAGAAGGTCCACCCGCGCCTCATCATCTCAAACATATGGAACAGATGATGGGGAGGAATTACAGCGACTTTATGAGAAGTCTTGCTGCCAAGTACAATAACGCCAATCCTAACGAGTATGTATTTATGTTTAAAAGTTAATTTGTTAAAATGATATAAAATATGAAATCTTGAAAGAAAATAATCTAATTTTAGGTATTTAAAGTTTAATACCTATTAGGTTTAGTATTAAAATTCAAAATTTTTAACTTAATACTAAATCAATATTTAGTCACTATAAAAGTAGCCATTCACTTTAAAGATTGATTTAGTTACTATAAAAGTAGCCATTTACTTTAAAGATTGAAGATTAAAATATGGATAAAATCAGTGCAATTACAGATATATTATGTTGAGTTATCATCTAATTTGATGACATCAAAATTTAATATTTTTAAATTATTATTTTCTATATTAAATTCTAAGTTTAATTTGTTTTTATCATGTTTTATATACGAATTATTTAAATTTAATTTTTATGTAATACTATATTATCTACTCACAGAAACAGAAATTGTTTTCTTGTAAAAATTGTTATACTATGTAATAGAAATTGCCATTTGGCCTGTGCCTTGGCATTAATAAACAAAATCTAAATCTAAATCTAAATTCATACTAAAATATCGATTCTAGGGGAAAATTATGAGACCAATGTTGTAGTTTAAAAAATTTCTTTATCAAAACATTTTTATACTGTCGGTCTAACTTCAATATTTTCGGAAATTTAGTCACTTACGTGCCGATCCCATCTTTTTCTCGCGTCGCACTCATAGCGAGAAACGGTACTATCCTTGTTGCACTCGTGATGATAAAGCTAATTGCAGTTTTATGTTTTTCTCTTAAACAAATGAGAACTTCGAAAAAAACGCTCAGCTATAAAATAGATAATTAAAAAATCTATTACGTAGCTGAGCGTTTTTTTCGAAAATCTTCTTTGTTTAGACGAGAAATCAAAAGCTGCAATCATAGGGACCGGTTCTTAAGCAGTGCTTACACAGCAAAAATAGCAAAATCATTATTTAGTCATGATAAAAATAACCATAAGTTTTAAAACACTTATTTTAAGACACAATTATATAGGACCAAAATTATTGCTTACAAAATTTCATAAAAAAAAGGTTTTTATACTATAGGTCTATCTTCAATATTTCCAGATAAATAATCACAAAAATAGTATTTACATGCTGGAAAATAAAAAAATCATTGTTTAGTCACTATAAAAATGGCTAAAACCTTTAAAATGATGATTTTAGGAAAAAATTATAAAGGACTAAATTTGTAACTTACAAAATTTCCTACAAAAAACATATACGAACTATAGGTCTATTTTCAAAATTTTCGGAGATATAGTCACTTAAATAATGCTCACATAGTAACCGAACATAGAATGAAAACTACAAATTCATTAATTCCTAAAAATACTCTGTTAAAACATTTCTACAATTGAGAATTCTAGGCCACCTAGCGGTAAAACGAAAAACTAACTTTCGATTTTCTTAAAAATTAAACCTAATAAACAATTTCATTTATGTTCCAGTTACTATAGTTCTCCTCGCAACGGATATCCTCCAGGCTTTGACCCGCGATTTCCAGGCTTTAAAGCAACAGCCACCCCCTTTGTCGGCCTAATGGCGCCTCTTGGAACTCACCCCCAGCCTCCAACAGTTCCCAGTTCCTCTCCTCTCACTGGCAAGGAGCCAAAAGAGCCAAAGCAGGACTCGCTCTTTGGAAACCCAGTTTTCCCACCAATGTTGGATATGTCCTCGACCCAGGCGTTGTTACACATGGTTCGAACAGCGAACGCGGCTCAGAATGCTGCGGAACTAGAAACTTACCTCAAAGGTACGTTTAAAAAATTCTAAAATATTTTTCTGCAGACTAAAATTAAACGAAACAAAATTTGTACAGGTGCGAATAAACGAGACGTAGGAGTGACGAGTCCTCTGGATTTGTCAAGCCCCGGGGGGTTCGCGCCTCGAAAGCGGCCCAGAATTGAGACCAAGAGGCCGGGAAGTGTCTCGCCGAAACCAAAACCAGCGACAGCAGCGCCTCCTAGGTCGAGCACACCGCCACCGGTGAGATGTCCTTCACTCTGCGGACATATGCCCTGTGGCGATGGCCAGGCTGTCAATCGATGGAGCATTGAAGACGTCGTTAACTATGTCTCCTCGATCGACATCTGCGCGGAGTATGCACAGGTAAGCTTTTTTTTTAAACTCTACCCCTGTTTGCTTTGTAATTTGTCTTGTCATGTATAAACAAATTCACCAGCAGTTACGAAACAAATCATATATTTATAATATTCTCAATTATTTCTATTATTTTTACCTTGATATTTTCAATTATTTTTATTAGTGTTACCCGGATTAATGAACGCAAAATTTTTCTAGGGCAACTTGAAAAATTGATTAATTTAAAAGAAATTTTTTTAAATTCTATTTTTGATTAACTTTTAAGTTAGAAATTTTTGTAAAATTTTCAAAATTCATTAGTTTTTTTCAATTTCATTTTTGTAATGTAGATATATTTTAGGATATAAATAGAAAGTTCAATGTCAATAGGACAAATGTTTTTCAAGTTAGGTCACAGAAGTGACAAATCAGGAAAGTAAAGACAGTCTAGCAATAAACTCGATTCTAATCGAATTCTGAAGATTTTTAGATGAAAATCAGAGAATAATCCCATCATATAAACATTAATGCCATATTTATACGATTTTCCGTTAAAATAATCGATCAGAAGCCTACTGTAGGTTTACATGACCCAAGAAAAGTCCTGGCGTTATCTATACTTTCGAAAAACTTCTCTGCTAGCGAGAAACACTCGCCATCTAGCGGCAAAATCAAGGAATAGCTTATTTCATATCACCTAGATTTTTTAATTTCTGAGGATATCCACCAGGATATCTGCACCAATTCGTGCAACCTTCTATCTCTCTCCCTCCCTAATATTTCTTTTAAAAAAACCAACTGTGAATTTTTACAATAGTTGAATTGTAAAGTTCACAAACACATATTGCACGCCTCATAAGCGAAGCGTTGAGGTTGTGCTCTACTCTCGACATTTCAAAAAAAGCAGTTTTCTCGAAACTGAAATTGATTTTTTGTTATTTATATCGCACTTACAGATTAATATGAGTACTATCTATACATTTTATTATAGTATTTTTTTTCCTCACCTTAGAGTTATGGCGCCACTAAGCCATAGCAGAATTTTCTGTTTTTTATTATTTTGCTTTTTATATTTTATTTTAATCAATTTTATTGTGAAAAATGAGATTATGAGGCGTGCACTTTTGGATTTTCCAAACTTTTTGTATAATTTGCTCTATAGTATACGACTTTTTAAAACTCTTGCTAGTCTTATTTGTTGGATAAAATTTACAATAGTAGATCGTAAAAATTACTAAATGAGAAGTATAGTCCACCGTTACTATTTTATTTAGTAAAAATTACAATAGTAAAATAGTAATAACTCCTTCAATTTTCTTCCCGTGTACTTTAGTTTTTGATTTGATAATTTTTAATGACTCCGATCGTTCAATATTCACCAAATATAATCTTGTATCATATGCATCAATTTTTAGAGCAATGAATACAAAAACTTCTTCAAAAAAATTGCTTTTTTGGTCTTATAAGTGCGTATAACTCTTTAAAGAAGGATTAAGATTATTAATTTAGGCGGGGTCATTATCGCGTTTTTGTCATCGGTGATCATCATCCTCATCATCATGAAGATTATTATCTTGGGCAATAGCAATAGCAATAAAATAATAATATGTAAATAACAATAAACCGTATGGAGATAGTAATGAGTAGAGTAGAGATGAGTATAAAAACTAAATAAAATGAAATGAAATAAATAATTGGATGTTTAAATAAGTCCCAAGCGTGTTAGTACGTCAAGACGTCCGGTTTTACGGATCGTAAATCTCATGCTCGCACGCGTGTCTCTTGTTCATGAATATTCAAGGAGGATGTACGGTATCTAATGAGGAGATGTTTCACGTCTATCATACCCGATCATTCTATTAAATGACTCAATAAACTCTCCATCGAATTTATTTAAATATTCAATAAAAGTTCAGTTTTACTGCCCGTTTATTAATTTATTTATTTATTTATTTAGTTATTTATTTATTTATTTATTTATTTATTTATTGTTTGTACCGCTAATTTTTTATAGAGCCAATTATTCAATTCGGTTCATCAGTTTTTAGAATCAATATAATATTCCAATGGACTTTTTATTATTTTTTTTTCTGTATGCAAGCCAATTCAATAAAAAATTATCAAAAGATATACAATTTATAAAAGCCATAAAATTTTTTGATCATAATTATGATAATTTTAGATAATAAAAAATAATATATAAAATTATTATCCCCAAGCTTAGACTACTTTAAAAAAATCTACTCGCGAAGATCTAAAAAAAAAAAAATGCAAAATAAAAACAAAAGCTTGGAAAATCCAAAAGTATACGCCTCAAAATCTCATTTTTCATGACAAAATTAATTAAAATAAAATACAAAAATTTACGATTTCACAAATTTTCAAATTGTGATATTCTGAATCTTTTTTTCTAATTTATTCTATTTTTATCGCTCATCTTTAAGAGAAAAAATATTTCAATAACCAGAAAAAATAGCATCGCCACCATTTCATAAAAAAAACACCTAAAATCTTGAGTTTTGAACTTTCAAATAAAAAAAAAAAAAAAAAAAAAAAAAAAATTGGTTGTCTGTAAAGTCGGTTTACGGACGATAGTTTTACGTGATAACGTCATAAAGAAACATTGATGAAAAATTGCATACTTTTATGGATTGAATTGAATTATTATCACTGGATTATCTTTATTTTGTATTTAAAAATTTAAAAATTATTTTACCAAAAAAAAGGACTTATTGATAAATTGTTAATCAAAAATTGATACAATAATTTGATAATTGATATGATTATTATTATTTATTATTAATATTAATTATTTTATTAATTTATTATTTTTTATTATTATTTTATTAATTTATCGTTTACAATTATTATTTATTTATTTATTTATTTATAATTGATATTCTTTATTAACAATAATTAATATTATCAACAATAATAATCTGATATATTTGATATAATTTGTTTAAATATAATCACAAACAATTAGTTATAGAACAATATTCTGACTGCTAGCTCTGACGTTACGCGAAAAGAGAGATATATGTCATAAGTCAATTCTTGGGCCTCTATATCGTTTGTTTGATCGTGCCTCTCTATCGCTTGTTGCGCGCTCTCGCTTGCACTCACAGGCTCAGCCGGAACGCTCAGGAGGAACACAAAAGCGGAACGGTCTGTCGGAACGCGACATTTTTTCGTGAGCGCTGTCGATGTTCATCAATTTATAAGACGTTATCACGTCAAAAACATTAAAATATTTAATTTTCATACTATTTATTATAAATCCGCCATGAAGAAGAACAATTGAAAAAAAAAAATATTCAGAAAAGATCAATTTTCCGATTTTTTGCACTCTAAAATAGGTGGAGCTCCACTTCTGCATAATTACCAAAAATAATCATTCACACACACAAAAAAAAATTTTTTCTCTTCAAACCAAAGTGCATACACGATCGTTAAAAACCAAAGAGGTCAAAATCATTAGAAAGTAATGATCTAATGTAGAGCTAAGTACGAACATGCTTACGAACATATCCCATAGTGATGATGATGTTAATGTAGTGGTGATCGTTAACCACCGGCAGTGAAGTAGAGGTACAGGTACGACAATGTCTGCAAAAACATGATCGGATCCCGATCCTCGGCTCATCTCGATCCATACTCGTCATGCCTCCCACGTGCCCGACTATCAACTATCATCTATCGCGAAATCGTGAACGAATCATTCGACTTGATTTCATTGCATTATAATCCAAGAGTTATTTATTATCATCATCATCATCATCATCATCATCATAACTATTACCAGGATCATTATTATCCTATATTATAATTTTTAATCCCCTGAAGTAGCATCACGTTGATGATTGAATTCCATATCCACCGTGACTTATAGATCATCAACTTTCTACACCGCGACCTCATGATCTCTTGCAACTCGGTTGTAGACGCAAGTACGCGTAACACGAAATTTTTAATGTTATGTTCGTTAATTCTGCAAACTACGAATCAATTAATCTGCATGCAAGATTTATATTTTTATTGTAACCCACAAAGTTCTTCCCGGTTAAAAATCTAAATAAAAATAAAAAAAAAATTCACCCAGAGATTTATCTCATGCAAATTGTCTAGAAAGTACGAGATTTTAAAAACCGATACGGAATTTCATTCTCCGTACCGACTAATACGAATCTTTAGAATAGTTCCTGTGGAATTTGAATTATTTACGAGTGGTCATAGTCGCGTGGTCCAGCTCGTGCGTTAATTAAAATCCGTATGCACGTGGTGCATAAATAAGAAGGTGAGCCTGTACTCACTATCAGCTAAATAAAAGTACTCAGGCAAAGCTTTCTATTTACGTTCGCGTGGCTTCTGTTCGGTTCGTTCTTTAGACTTTTGTTTTTTTATAACTGTTTGCTACTTTGCTACCGTTCCTTTGATAACGGGTTTGATAATAAATACTTTGTGTGTCTGTACACGCCCTGATATCTGATATTCAGACTTAAATTACCTTAAGTAATAAGTAGTAACGTAAATAGAAGTTTTAATTGTCTGGCTTGGGTATCAGTGCGTAATTACGGTCACTCTAAAGAGTTAAAGACCCCATTAAATCATTGATTTATAGAATGTTTATAAAATAATTCATTTTGAAAATTTTTTTCGAGCAATCTTCCTGAGCAATGTTAAGAATTTTTTTTAAACTGCAAAAGTGGCTTCTTTAAAATTTTTTTCTTTCAAAATGGTCAATTTTCAATAAATTTTTTTGGTCGATTTTTATTCTTCGAATATCTTTTTTTTCTTTTTAAAATTCATAAACTCTTTGACCAATTGATTACAAAGTTTATGAGGGCTAAAGGGTTAGAAAATTGAATCGATTGCCGCAAACCTGGTTTAAATCGGAGGACTAGTTCACGAGTTATCGTCAAAAATGGAAGGATCAAAAAAATATCCACATTAGTGTTCCTAATCCAGTCTTTTTTCGATATAATTCTAAAACTACTCAACCGATTTATTCTTAATTTTACCAGGGTCTCAACATTGGAAAACTGAACCGATTTCCGCAAACCGGGTTCAAATCAGGTGATTTGTTCAAGAGTTATTTCCAAAAACAGCTGCATCAAAAAAGTTTTCCAATTATTATACTTGACCCAGTGATTTTTCTGAATATCTTTGAAACAGCTCCACCGATTAACTTCAAAATTA